GCCTCTAACTTAAGCAATGCATGCAAAAGTAATCAAAATAAGATTATTTTATGTGTCTGACTCATCCATCCATCCATCCATCCATTTTCTTCCGCTTATCCGGGGTCGGGTCGCGCGGGGTAGCAGCCTAAGTAGGGAGGCCCAGACTTCCCTCTCCCCAGCCACTTGGGCCAGCTCTTCCGGGGGAATCCCGAGGCGTTCCCAGGCCAGCCGAGAAACATAGTCCCTCCAGTGTGTCTGACTCATGTAAATGTGGTTTTCTTGCTTTAGTTATATTACACTATAAATAAAAACCTCAAAGGTGCCACAATTTAAAATATGTATTTATTGTACAGTGTAACTTTATTGCCTTCTGCCAACAAAAACTGGTATTAAAAAAACATAAAAACCATTTGGTGAATTTAAAGTAAAGTTTACATGAACATAGAAAGAAGAAAAGCAAAGACGTGAACAACAACGTGTCCGAATCTTGAAGGCATCCAACTGTTTTTGCACCCACAGTTCCTTTTAGGAAAAGTATACCAATTATTATGACATCATCAAATATTTATCACTATTTGTTTTTGTTTTTTTTTACTTCTTGTAAAATCTGAACCTTTACTGCACAGATTATAGTGTTTCCTGCCTGCATATGTTGCTCAGAAAGAGACTGTAATACATGTAGTTATGCACAAAACTTGAAAAGCATTCAATCGTTAAGTCATCGCGTTGAAAACAAGTCATGGGCGATCTGTTTGGGTAAAATCTGTATTCCCCTGCAGTGAGGTAACATAAGATATTTAGTCTGAGTTAATGGGACATAATTTTGCCGAGGTAAATATTTTGTTGTTTGAGGTGGCATTGTGTGTGTTTCCCAGCTTTTCTTTCCCTGTGAGTGTGTACACCGAATAAAGTGTTTCAATGTATTTGGAGTATTTTACGTTTAATCAACACTGAACAGATAAGCCCTCAAGACACATGTGCAATGTAAATACACGCTCACGCACAGGGAGCAGAGAGAAACAAATACAGCCACAATAGAAAGCCTTTTTTTGGCAGCAATGCAACAGCCTTCCATCCATATCCCTCGTGCACCCTCAGCCACCCCTACACCTCCCCACGCTGCGAGATATTAAATACCGTTCTCACAGCAAGTTTAGCCACTTGGCATTCCAACAACACATCCGTCTCTCTGGAAATGTTTATCTGTAAGCTGTTTACGCCACACTTTCCTCATCACATGCACATATATGTAGTTTAAACACACGTGTGCAGGTCGGCATACAAAAAGTAAAAGTAAACGTGAGTACGGAAAGGCAAAAAAAAACCAGAAAAGTATATTTTTTCAAAACCCGAGAACACACGTTCACACGCACACACTGGAAAACGTATAAAAGTGCACACGCAAAATTTGTCAAAACACAAAAAAGTCAAACAGATGTGACCGGATTGTGTCAAGGTTTCACACCATAGACATCAGTGTTCAAATGCACACACACATACACACGGATACACATTGGAGGCAGCGAGGAATGCAGATGGAAGTAACGGTTGGATACGCTGGTTGGACTACATCTAAACATTAGAAAATGTAGCCTCAAAGGCAACACACTTCTTTTAACACACACAAAATGCTTTACACTGATGTGTAACTGTGCTTGCAAGCAGGACTCAATAGAAAAAAAAAATAAAAAAACACGTGATGAGATGACGTTCTTGCATGCCACTAATGAAATTAAGCCTGGAAATGTAGCGCTCTGTTAGGCAGATAAAGTCTAAGCTTCCTTCCAAACTGAGGGAGGCAGAGCCAGATAGAAAGAGGCTGTTAACATCAAGGCTATGCTGAAAATACAGGGGTCAACTTTGCGCAGAGGGTGAGCGATGAGAGAGAGATTACAGGAAGACGGTGTGCATAGGCGTTCTGGGTGTATGAGTGGGTTATTTGTCTGACTGAATATAGGTTTGCATATCCAGAAGAACAGAATGGAAAAAGGTTTGACTATCGCTGGTGGTAGACAAAAATTACATGATGCTGAGAGGGGGTTTTGATCAAATAACAAGCTCCTGTAGAAATGTTATTGCTATTTAATTTGGGCTTTGTCTCTTATTTGTTTTATGGTGTTTATAAGATAAATTGCAGGTGATCGGTTAAATGATTACATCTATGAATCGTTAGTTCAACTTTGATGTTTCAAATTCAAGAATCTTTATTATCCCCAAGGGGCTATTTGTTTCACAGTCAGTACACAAAGCATCCATACTAAAGACATTGAGACAATAAAATAATACATGAAATCATCACTGTTTGTTGAGAAGCCTGATCGCTACAGGGATCAGATGGTCGTCCAACATCTGGGCAGCAGATACCTGCGTCCTGATGGAAGGAACCTGAACTCACCGTGGAGTGGGTGATCAGGATCTGCCAGAATCTACTGGGCATTGTTCACTGACATCACCTTGTGTAGGTTTATGAACTGTATTTATTCTTGGAAGTTTGTTTATTGTCAAACAGGAACATTTTTTTTCTAGACTTTTTGATCATATTTAGAAATGTACTTGCTTGGTGCTTGGTTAGTCTGTATGTACACTTTTCATGACTCTTGTCACACTAACTTTGTACTTTGTTGTGACATGTTTAAAGCAATAACAACTTTTTTATCTTCTTTTTTTTTTAGACATGATAAGCTCAGAAAAAAAAATGAAAAAGGAATGTCCATACAAAATGAAGTTCTGGTTAATTAACATTTTGCTGTGTCACCACAGGACTTTCACAATTTTCAAGAGGGATTTTCTATGGTTTCTTAACAGTATGTAGCTGCAATGGTCTTAAACATAGACATTTCCTTTAGCATTAGACATTGAGATATCCAGAAAATGTTTATTCTGAATACTTTTTGCATAAATATTTATTTTGTCTTAAGTAGTCTGCCAGCCACTGATGCAAGAAAATCTTCCCAGCATCGTGCTGCTTTTACCATGTTTATAGAGATGACATCAGTGTACAAGACTTGGTTTCCTCAACTGGGAATAATGCCAAATAGTACAGTCTTTATTTTATCAGATGAGAAGAATTTCCATTTCTTGGTCTAAGAGTCATTCAGGAGTCCTTGGGAAACACCCAGGGGGGTTTTGAAGCCTTTTAGGCTTCTCTCTGGTAACTTTTTCTAGATCCCCAATTGGAGTAGTGCTGAACTGATAGTTTTTTCTTCTCTGCAAAGGTTCACTGGATCACATTCATTGTAACCAATTTAATTTTGAACTGCTACGGAAATTTAGTTAGCTGTCCTCTTTCAGGAATAAATGTTACTTTCTTTAAACTTATTTTTAACAACAACTTGTTTTTTTTATTTTTTTTTTTATCATACAGTGCATCATAAACAGCTTGAACATTATGCTTTATTGGGTATTTTCCTTTTTTTTTTTTTTTTTTTTTTTTTTTTTTGGGAATGTACACACAGTACACCAAATTTGTGTTTATTTTGTTCAGTGAAGAATAAACGTAAGATTTCGATGCAAAATTAACAACAAAAAAAAACAAAACTAATAATAACTTAGGTTTGAAACAAAACTGAAAACAAACATTAAAAAAAAGGTTAATTCGTGTCTTCTGGATCAGTTTCTTTAGTGAGAAATGTTTCATCCCCCATCCAGAGGACTTCCTCAGTCTGCAGCCTGCCAACCAGATCAAGCCAACCTCCTACTGGAATCTCAGAAGCAGGCTTTTAACACACCCACCCAAAACAATCAATCATGTACAACAATCAACCTATGGGACAAATCTGGTTGGCAAGCTGTAGACTGAGGAAGTCCTCTGGATGGGGGATGAAACATTTCTCACTAAATAAACTGGTACAGATGACACAATTTAACCTTTTTTGTTGTTATCTAGGGTACCTGGATGATTGAGCTTACACCCCCCTTTTTTTAAAAAAACAAACATGTTTGATGGCTCCATATTAGTAGATTTGCTGCCTCTAATGCACAAAACTTTTCATAAAAACTATGTTGAATCGCTAATGTTGGATGTATAGCTAATTGTCATTTAAACATATTCTGCTCTTTATGTCACAGAGGCTAAACTGAAGAATTAACTATGACATTTTTTAAGCTACCGTGCAAAGTCTGGGAGATCTGCTTACTTTTAACATCTTAATATTTTATTACCTTTATTCCCCACTTTGTTTGTTTTAATTATTTTTCTATCCGTTATGAAACATAAAGGATTGTTCATATTTTGTCTGTATGATAGACTGCAAGATTCAGTGAACATTTACCAAGTAATTTTATTTGACCTTGTGGCCAAAAAAACAGAAGCAGACTCAATTTCTCCACCCTTTCCAACACCGCCCAATGGCAAACAAACGTGCACACACAGCACTGACTGTAAATTACAGGGAAGCAGCAAATCATTTTCCCATTTACTCCTCTGTAACTCAAACATTTAGTTCATTTTCTGTCTGAAAATTAGCTGGCATTGATGCCAGTGCTCTCTAGTATAATTATCAATTATGCATGTGTCACTGTAGGAGTTGTATGTGCGGAGAGCAGAGGCTGTAGAGGGGCATCAAGTTTCAGTCAGTTCATCAACGTGTAAAACACCTGAAGGTTAAAGCACACTTGACCTATTCAAGTGAATGGTGTAAAGGTCTTCCAATCATAAATCACTACAAGCTAAATGCACAAGCTAAAATATCTATACTGAGCTCATAATTTATGGGTAGGGCTATGACAGGATTGGGCATCAAAAGTTGATTTAGGACATCTGAACTGCCTCTTTTAGCTGAGAATTTTATATTTCCTGTTTTTGGAACATTTCAAATCACTAGGGCCATTGAGCACACTGAAAAGAGTGTATGGTTGATAAAGAGGTGGTTTCATATAAAGTCAAATTTTATTGAAAATGAATTCAATAAAAAAATGTGGATAAGACAGAAATAATTTGTATTTGTCCTGTTGAAAAATAAAGTTACACACTGTTCATTCATTCTCATCACCTTTGCTTTATGGTGTTGGCCGTTTAGGTGGAGCTCTCTGACAGCACCTCTCATACCATCACTGATGCCTATGCTGGCAAGGAATACATCATACAAGTAAGAAGTTTAGTATGTCTCACAATTAACAAGGAAAAGTGACGTTTTACACAAAGTCAACGAGACTGAGTTTGGCCTTTCATTGTTTTATTTTGCACATTGTGGGACAATCTTTCTAACATTTTTTATCTAAATTAGTTAAATAATTCTGTCACTAATTCAACAGGTGGCTGCTAAGGACACAGAAATTGGAACGTGGAGTGACTGGAGTGTGGCTGTCCACGCTACACCTTGGATTGAAGATCCTCTGCCACATTCTGCCATCACTCCCACAACTGATGTGGACTTCCCTACTGGTAGGTTGAACTTCGAACACATTTAGGATTGGCGAATAAAGTTTGTGGTCAGTGGTCTTCAAAGTTCACCTATTTGTAAATAAGTTCAGCAGTGTTTTCGTGGGCACCCAAATATAGAGAATTTCGTGAAATAAGCTGCAATAATTGCATAGCGGTTTTGAATCTTTAAAAACGGTTCGCTGTTAATGGATGTTTTTACCAAAATGGTGATTTCAGATTTTTAGCATGCTTAAAATGTTAGCCTGTAAAGTTGAACTAATATTAAATATAAAAATGCATGCATTAGCCTAATGTTGTTTGCCTTCTCATATCAGCTGCAAACACAAACTTCAGCTAAATTTGATGTCATCAAAGATACATTGATATGAAAGGCTAAATGTAGATAGATTATTACAAATATGGAAAATGTATCATGGAAGGCTTTCTTTTAGATTCAGAAATTGGCTGTCCTTTTGTTCATACCATCACTGATTAGTTCACTAGTGCAACAATACTGCAAACAACTCGTATGGTATGCATATTTAATTAAATTTTTTGACACTTAAATATTCTTCTTATGTCTGGGTTTCATTTACCAATGTTTTATTCCCAAGGCTATCCAATAGACATGTATTTAATCAGTTAGGTATGAAATTAGGTTTCAATAACATTTTATAGCATGACATTGAGCACACATAACTTTGAACTTCTACCACAACTTGAGAAATAAAATCCAGCAGTCTAGACACAAACTGACACTCACAGCAGCTTTAGCCTGAATTGTGCCTCAAGGGAATAACCGCGCTATCTTTTTTTTTAAAAAAAGACTCACGTATCCCCCACAGCTCCAGACTGACTCTCTTTCATTGCATATTTTTTAGACGTTAAAAAAAATAATAATTGTAATTAAACTATTTGCAATTTAAACATTTTTTGTATGTGTATAAATATGCACACACCTTAAGACATTGTCATGGAGTCCAAACACTTTGGACTTTTTTAAGCATGTGGCAAATATCAAGGTTGGCTTGCTAGTCAGACTGAAATCTCTCTATGGGCAGATAATTGTAAAACAACAAGACATCCCGGACTAAACCTTTATTCATTTATTTATTATATACATTTTTAAGAATTCACTGAAATACCACAAAATAAAAGTATTCTTTGTCCATCTACTGATCGTGCCCTTTCCTTTCCAGCAAACCAAGACCTGCATCTACTTAAGATTTGGAACACGATAATTGGATATATTGACATGAATTAGGCACTATTTAAAAAAAATGCATATGTTTAGGATCAATGAGGTATTGGGGAAGGATATGTTCAGGCAAATGTTGAAGTTAGACCAGGATTCTACATTGGCAACATTTTGGTCACTTGTTCAACCGTAAAAGCTTCACAAAAGAAAAATAAAGTCTGGACTAAGGTTGCACTTTGCTCCTGGACTGCAGTGCAGATGGCATTATGGTAACACGGCAGTTGAGATGAAGCACACGTCTCTTTGATTGAGTTATCAATCTGGCTCAAGATTTCAAAGTCACTCTATAGACAAGCATTAGTGACCTGAATTTAATTCAGGTTGGCCTGGGATTGTTCTTGTTTTATAATCAAATCAATAAAATATGATTGCCACTATGTGCAACTGGCCCTTGCAGGTACTTGTAGGCCAGATGATGTATGTGATCCAAGGAGCTTTCTTTCTATACCAGCAGGCGAATGTCGCTCTTTTTAGTAACTGACTGACTGATCTTTGTTTAGCAAAAGAGGGGTTGTTTTTGTACCAAAGAAAGGGTTCTCAGAAATATCTATTAATATAAGAAATCATCCTTCGTGTGGTGCCTTTGATTTATTTATTTAATTCAACACAAACAACCAAGGATACTTCCCCCCCAAAAAACAGCTGTTACTGTCATACAGCTTTGCAATCCATCCACCTCACAAGTGCAGTATATCAATATGCTGATTAGACAGCATGATTATTGCACAGGCGTGCCTTAGGCTGGCCATAAATAAGGCCACTCTAAAATGTGCAGTTTTAGCACACGGCACAATGCCAAAGACGTTGCAAGTTTTGAAGGAGCGTGCAATTGGCATGGTCACTGTAGGGATGTCCACGTTCAGAGAATTTGGCATTCAACCAGCCTCACAACCGCAGACCACGTGTAATCACACCAGTCCCTGTGTTCATTGTCCAAAACATTCAGTTCGATTCAAAAATACTTCATTAATCCCAAAGTGAAGTTAAATGTTGTAGCTCATCATCCTGGATTCATTAGAGTTGTTATAGAGGCTGATGACTGTGAGCAGGACGGATCTCTTGTAGCGGTCCGTCTTACAGCAGATCTGAAGAAACTGGTTGCAGATGTTGATCTACAGTATCTACTTGGACTCAATGGGTTTCTCGGTCTTCTTGGGAAGAAGGAACACCTGAATCTTTGGCAGAACTCCTCCCTGAGCAATGACCACTCCTCCCAGCAGCTTGTTGAGCTTCTTGTCATTGCGGACAGCCAGCTATATGTGTCAGGGTATGATCCTGGTCTTCATGTGGTCATGAGCCACATTTCCCGCCAGCTCCAAGATCTCAGGTACTCAAGCACCTCCACCAAGTAGACGGAGATACATCCACAGCACCTCCTTTAAGATACGCCGATACGTGACAACATATGCTGATGTCAACCCATGCCATACCCCCACCTCTACCACTCGATTCACAACGATGACATCAGAAAACTGCTCACCCACCTACATGCAGTCTGCCATCTGTCCTGTACAGTGAAGACTGGGATTTATCCTTGAACACCTCTCCATCGTGTCATATGCCTTCAAATGTGAGCATTTGCCCGTTCAAGTTGGTTACAACACACTGTAGTTGGAGACCTCAATGAGGACGACGGACATCAAACCAATTGTTGCAGCAGCTGTCTGGGCAGCTGGCATTTATATGTTTTGTGTATTTCCCTTTAAATTAGTGGTTTTTAGAGCCTGTGATGGTTAATCCACCTTAATAGGCAAAACAGTTTTGTGCAAGACGTAGCAAGTTAACATTAGGTTTCCATTGGCAAGACCTAACAAACTGACTTTACCTAGTTGAGACACTCCTGCTGCCCTTGGGTCAAAATGACTCACAAGGCCTCAGTTTAAAAACTAAGGCCTTGTCTTTCAGATCAAGGACAGCCCGGGGATTAAATAATCCTTACACAAGACTGGTCCACGGTTCAGCTGTATGCAATGCAAACTACTGAGCTATAATGAGATAGTGAGCCTTCGACTGAATGAGTTCATATGAGAGTGGCATCTACCTTTTAAACTCTCTGATTCATGAAGAACGAGCTATTTAAAAAGTCATTGCATTATTTAAATACTTGTCAGTAGTTGAGCTCTAATGATGCTCTCATTTAGCTTGTTCAGTGATACAGAATGCAGAATTTGGTGAGCCAGCTCAGTTTTAATTGTGAGTTGTGAGACATTTAAAATGAGAAAAAATAACCTTCTTGCAAGCTATAGCCCTTATTTTTTCTATTCGGCATGTTCATCTATCAATTCAAACCTTGTTTGAATAATAAAAAAATGCTCATAGCCATCTTTTTAATTTTATTTTATGTTGTTTTTTTTTTTTTTGTGGCTGCCCTTTGAATTTTGTTGTTAGTTTTATAATACAAGACTGACTTCTTTTGGTCATAAGCAGCACTGCATGGTGATTGTCAGTCTGCATTTAATAAGCTCATGAAGATACACAAACGTAGTGCTGATGAAACCCATCTTTTCCATCTTCTAACACTGTTGTGAACAAAAAGAAAACCAATGAAGGCGTGCTCCTCCTATCAGATAGCATGTTTTGCATGCTCTCTCATGAACCTTCGGTCAGTGCACAGCGTATTATTCATGGTGTCAAGGAAATAACAGCAGTTTATTTGGATTCTCCTCATGCATCTTCTCCACCCAGCTGCTGCCTCTCTGCTCTCCTTCCTGCTCTCCTTGTCATGTTCTTTTTTTCTCCCTCTCTCTCTCTCTCTCTCGCTGGCTCCATTTTGCCTTTAGGTCTCTCTTTCCCTGTGTTTTTTTTTTCTCTCTCTCTCGTTTTAACTTCTTTCTATTGATCATGCCTCTTACACTTAGCTCTTGGCAGCCCACGCGTCATACAAATCTTTTCTGTTTGACCTTTTGCTGCCCAATTTTAAAGATGTCACTTGCTGGATGACTGATTATAGCTGGGTAGAAACTGGTCTGTAGCAACTGCAACGGCCTGTTGAGATCCATACAATGACTTCATATTTGGGTGTTGAGACTCATGGATGCAGTTTTTCCCACTCCCCCCCCCCTTTTTTTTTTTTTAACAACATAATCAAATAAATTGAAAGCTAAACAGAATTCATGTAAGCCAAATGAAAATGTGTCCTTAAAACACAAAATAAACAACTTGGAGAAGAAAAAAAAAACTCTTATGTTCAGACTGAATTAAACTTAATGTAATTGATTTCTCATCTAAATCTGTTTTAGGTTGAATTGCAAGGGGATTCCATTGGAACACAATGGACTGCATGAAACTGAATCTAATTTGGAACTTTTTGCTCTTTTTGTTCAGTGAGACGACTTGAGATGATTATCTTCTGAATAAGAGTTGTACAAATAAGTTTAATTGGGTTGACTTTAAATTAAGAATTGAAATGAGCCGAGTTGACTTGAAGTGTACTGATTTGAACTTAGTTACAGCGAAGAAGAAGTGAATTAAATTGGGTTAATTGAGTTAAGTTGAATAAAATAACTTGAACTGAGAAAAATAGAACTGAATTCAACTGGATAAAATAATTGAATTACATTGGATTGGACAAAAAAAAACACAAAAAATTGAGTTAAGAAACATAGTTAAACTTGGGTGAATATAACTTAACTCATTCACTTGAACTGTATTACATAAATGAATTAAGATGAACTGGACTGGATACAATTGAAAAAAGAAGGATTGACTTGAGTTAAATTAAGGTGATGTGGATAATTTGGACTAAATAAACTGCTGAATTGAG